GTACGAAGATCAAGCTATTCAGCCCTCTTGCATCTGCTTTAGACATTTCCCCTCTGTAACAATGCAAACACTACAACTCGTAGAAAGCTTCACACACTCTTGATCAAGACAGTGTGAAGCAAAACAAATTTATGGTGCTAACAAGAGCTTCATCAAAGGAGTTCAACCACAATTCTCAAAACCTTCACACACTATTGATCAAGACAGTGTGAGCAAAACCAATTTATGGTGCCAACAAGAGCTTCATCAATGGAGGGCAACCACAATTCTCAAAACCTTCACACACTCTTGATCAAGACAGTGTGAAGCAAAACCAATTTCTGGTGCCAACAAGAGCTTCATCAATGGAGGGCAACCACAATTCTCAAAAGCTTCACACACTCTTGATTAAGACAGTGTGAAGCAAAACCAATTTATGGTGCCAACAAGAGTTTCATCAAAGGAGGGCAACACAATTCTCAAAAGCTTCACGCACTCTTGATCAAGACAATGTGAAGCAAAACCAATTTATGGTGCCAATAAGATCTTCATCGATAGAGGGCAACCACAATTCTCAAAAGCTTTACACACTCTTGATCAAGACAGTGCGAAGCAAAACCAATTTATGGTGCCAACAAGAGCCTCATCAAAGGAGTTCAAGCACAATTCTCAAAAGCTTCGCACACTCTTGATCAAGACAGTGTGAAACAAAACCAATTTATGGTGCCAACAAGAGTTTCATCAAAGGAGGGCAACACAATTCTCAAAAGCTTCACGCACTCTTGATCAAGACAATGTGAAGCAAAACCAATTTATGGTGCCAATAAGATCTTCATCGATAGAGGGCAACCACAATTCTCAAAAGCTTTACACACTCTTGATCAAGACAGTGCGAAGCAAAACCAATTTATGGTGCCAACAAGAGCCTCATCAAAGGAGTTCAAGCACAATTCTCAAAAGCTTCGCACACTCTTGATCAAGACAGTGTGAAACAAAACCAATTTATGGTGCCAACAAAAGCTTCATCAATGAAGGGCAATTACAACTCGTACAAAGCTTCACACACTCTTGATCAAGACTGTTCGGAGCAAATTCAATTTATATAGTAGATCCAAACCTTCGACTACTACAAGGTGTGGCTTGCATCACAATCTCTTGCTCAACAGTGTGGAAGCAAAATTTGTATATGTTGTCTCTCCCACATTTTCAAATTTCTATTTTGCAAAAAAAAAAAATGAAAAAAAAAGAAAAGAAAAAAGAAAAGAAATAACGGAAATTGGGAAATTGAACAAAGCTTCACCGTAAAAGCTTTACCAACAAAAGCTTCATCAATGGAGGACAACTACAAATTCTCAAAAGATTCACACTATCTTGATCAAGATAGTGTGAAGCAAAATCAATTCATGGTACCCAACAAAGCTTCACCAAGAAAAGCTTCATCAATGGTGGACAACTACAAATTCTCAAAAGCTTCACACTATCTTGATCAAGATAGTGTGAAGCAAAATCAATTCATGGCACCCAACAAAAGCTTCAACTCCAAAGCTTCACCTACAAAAGCTTCAACTCCAATGCTTCACCTACAAAAGCTTCACACATAAAAGCTTCACCCACAATAGCTTCACCTACAAAAGGTTCACCAATAAAAGCTTCACCAACAAAAGCTTCACCAACAAAAGCTTCACCCACAAAAGCTTCACCCACCACAAAAGCTTCACCCACCACAAAAGTTTAACCTATAAAAGCTTCACCCACAATAGCTTCACCTACAAAAGCTTCACCCATAAAAGCTTCACCAACAAATGCTTCACCAATGGAGAACAAGTACAAATTCTCAAAAGCTTCACACTATATTGATCAAGATAGTGTGAAGCAAAATCAATTCATGGTACCCAACAAAAGCTTCAACTCCAAAACTTCACCTACAAAAGCTTCAACTCCAAAGCTTCACCCACAAAAGCTTAACCCACAATAGCTTCACCTACAAAAGCTTCACCCATAAAAGCATCACCAACAAAAGCTTCACCCACAATAGCTTCACCCACCACAAAAGCGTCACCCACCACAAAAGCTTCACCTACAAAAGTTTCACCCACAATAGCTTCACCTACAAAAGCTTCACCAACAAAAGCTTCACCCATAAAAGCTTCACCAATAAAAGCTTCACCCATAAAAGCTTCACCCACCACAAAAGCTTCACCCACAAAAGCTTCACCCACAAAAGCTTCCCTCACCACAAAAGCTTCACCTACAAAAGTTTTCCCCACCACAAAAGCTTCCCCCACCACAAAAGTTTCCCCCACTACAAAAGCTCCACCCATAAAAGCTTCATCAACAAAAGTTTCACCCACCGCAAAAGCTTCACCCACAAAATCTTCACCTACAAAGCTTCAACAGAAAAGCTTCACCGACAAAAGCTTCACACTCTCTTGATCAAGATAGTGTGAAGCAAAATCAATTCATGGTACCCAACAAAGCTTCAACCTCAAAGCTTCGCCTACAAAGCTTCACCTACAAAGCTTCACCTATAAAGCTTAAAATATATATATATATATATATATATATTTTTTTTTTTTTTTGGAAATTTGAAAATTCAGAAATTCGAAAATTTGAAAATTTGAAAATTCAAAAAAAAAAAAAAAAAACAAAATTGCCTAGGCCTTCTCTTCTTTACGCCTAACAACTTTCGTAACAAATATATATAAAAGAGGAGTTTTGGGCTACCACTTACAAAGGAAAATGGTGAAATTTTGTTATTTTGGAAACTTGGCTACTAGCAAGACACCTCATTCGTCAACTCCCTCGACCGGAGACTTGGGGGACTCCAAACATATGCTACTGCAACTTGATACTCGGAAGTCTCACGACCACTCAGTGACTTGGATTTTTTCAGGTCTCCAACTGAGAAGTTTTCCTCACTCGGGAAATTAAGGGAGCACTACCTCAACCTACATGCTTCACTCACAAAGCTTCAACGTACAAGCTTCAATAAAAGGAAATATTCTAAGAGCTTAGTGAAGAAGGCCTTGGTGTATTTAACACAATACGTTGAAATAAAGCAAAGCTTGTTTATTGATATCTTTGATAAGTTACAAATATGTACATATACATGAATCAAAATAAAGAAACAAAAGGGAACCTTCACAAAGGTTGCTCAGGAGAAGTCTTAGCAGTTGGCAAAGCCCTAGAAAGAGGAGGCACCAGAAGGTGATTATTCGGAGCCTCGGTACTAGGCAGAACCCCATAAGAATGAGGTACCGAAGGTTGATCATTTGGAGCTTCATTACGCGGTACAACCCTAGAAGACGAAGGCAATAAATACGTTTGGAACAAACCCACAAACCTCTGATGATCAAGTAAAATCTGACCATTAGATTCCTGCAGCTGGTCGAGCTTCCCCTTCATTGTAGCATAGTCATGTGTGAACCTGTGCAACTGTTTATTCTCATGCTTAGGCCTTCTGATCTCCTGTTTGAAACTTATCACTTGGGCCATATTAGACACAGAACCTGCACACTGGACACTGAGAGCTAGAGAATCATTAATAGCTAACTCATCAGACCGTTTGGAAAGTAGTCTGTTATCTTTGGGAGTGAGAAGGTTCCTGGCCACCATCGTAGCGATCATATCATTCTTCATCATAGAGTCCCCAACGGTAAGAGGACTAGTTGGGGATAAGAAGGATGGGTGCCATATGTTGTCTTGAGAAGGCATGGCTGCCTTTTCACCAAAGTTCAAGTCAAAACGACGATCAGATGGGCCAAACATTCTCAGAAATGATGAAGGAGAAATGAGGTGCAATAAATTTCTGAAGTAAGGGGAAAATTCCTACAAGCAATAACTTTCTGAATGTACTTCTTGCACACAATTAGTGCCCTTATAAAAGAAAGGGCAACAGGGCTGTTGGTTCAAAAATTGAAGAGGCACCACTCTCCTGATTCCGAAGAGGCACCACTTTCCACACGAAACATCAGCTCCTCGAGTACCATAGATAACTTTGCCAAAGATCTCTGACAAAGTTTAGACACATAAATTTTGAAGGTCCAGCTACCCTACTATTACCCACAAGGGTCAAGGAACAGCACCACTGCTTAGTAACTAGAAAGTCCCAATGTGTGTCAACCTCCGTGCTCCGTGGCAAGGTAGACTGGCAAAAATGCCCAACTTTTACTCACATTCGAGAAAACACTCCCAACAAGATTGCTTGCTCAAAAATTGAAGAGGCACCGCTTTCCGAATCTCGAGAACCAGACTCCCAACAGGATTACGTGCTAAAAAATCGAAAAGGCACCGCCCTCTGAATCTCGAGAGCCAGACTCCCAACAAGAGTACTTTCTCAAAAATCGAAGAGACACTGCTCTCCGAGAAGATACCACATCTGGCTGAGGAACATATAGGGCAAGTGAAAGGATACAAGGAAGCATGTGGAGACAAGTGTAACAGAACACGTGCCGATACATCCACTAATTTGTCAACAGCAAAAGTATCCCATATCATCAAGGTCAAACGTACTCTAGATTTGATGGACTTGTTTTGACCCTCAAATTCTTGAGTCAGCCTTATACTCTGGAGGAAACCAGAAAACCCTTCAGCTTAGTTCAAGAATAAGCCTATGGAAAGTTACTTCTTCAAAAGCAAAAGTATCTCATATCATCTATTCTCCATTTGCTTCTCCTTATCCTTGTTGTTGTTTACAACACAAGGAGAATGAGAACAATCAACCGGAAGCCGAAGTCGAACCTCCGATCTAGGTTGCTTGCTTGGAAGTCTGATTGCTTACCTTGTCTGTTACCTCATTCGGCAAATCTCTTAGCTCAACGACTTAGGGGACTCCTACTATAGGGTTTGTATCGCACCTGACCAAGCCTGAAACTACAAGTAAGCTTCAAGTGAAATTGATACATTACCTTATGCATCTTCATCACTTAAAGATATGTCACACCCCAAATTCGAAAATAAGAATGATAATCGAATTAGGGTGTGAATAGAATTTAAAATAAATTAAAATATTACAACGAGAGTATGATGGAACCAGAGCCAACTAAAAGTTCACTTAGACCTGTTTATTTAATACATCATGAGTTTAAAGAGTTCAACTCTTACAACACACTCTTGAGATACTAGAACACTTTATTTAAAGTACAAATAGGAAACTAGCACACACATAGGATATGTTTATTCATATAGAGACAGGTCATCATCTTGTTCCTCCATACTGGTACCTGCAATAGCTAATAGGGTGTGAGCTTTTCATGCTCAGTAGGAACCATATGTCCTTCAAGTTCATTTACCACAATTAATCAAAATATCAAGCCTCAAACAATACGGTAAAAATACAAATAATATGACAAAGAAATAAACATGAACTCACTCCCTTCTAATCCTGCTAACTTATATTCATGGCATCCAAACCTGCACGTCCCATACCATGCTTATACCCTTTGGTTCTGAATACCATAAAATATAAATTAACTCCCATTCCTCCCTTAACCCCTAATTTTATTAGAAATTTCAGTTTCATTAACATAGGCCCTTCCCCCGACGCCCAACTATACGTTCAAGCCCTTCACCCTACGCTTGAACATATATAAGTTTTCAACACTTTGCTTAACCAAGTTTACACAACCCAACACTTAACTCTGTAACATGTAATGCAACACGAGCAATTCAATTTAACAAACATAATTGTAACCCTCAACGTAGTCAGTCCAACAATTTTACATAACTCAACCATTCATCAAAACATAACAACATTTAACATAGTCAATATATATAATACACCGAAAAATAAACCATTAACCCTAAACACAACCATGACAATCAATCGATTCAATTTCACCCAAGCATTTCATTACTACTGTATTAGATATAATTACTAATATCACAAAGATTAACCATGATATAGATCTATCATCGGGAAATAGAGCCCCTACCTCTTGTCTAGCTAACTGTAATACCTCTCTAAGCCTCCGAAGTGTCCGGAGTCACTCCCAGGCCTAACATCACATAAAAAAAATAGTAAAAGTTAGCATAAAACTAGAATGAAAAATTCTATTTCAGCCTAACAAAGATTTACCCAAATATACCCATCACAACCCCATTAAAAACCAAGCTTAAGTCCCCATATTGTGACCCTATTTTCATCCCTCAAAACTCCATGGAAAATGATGAAATTACTTGGATTTTAAAGCTTAACAAACCTAGTTTCTAATCTACTAAGAATTCTCAAAACGGATTTAAGAGAAGGAAATAATCAAGCCCCAAAGTTGAGTTCACAACCAGTTTTTCTGCAGAAAATCTACAGATTTCCAGATTTCCAGATTTTTTTTCACATTTTCAAATCATATGTTTCCATAGAAGATCTCAACCAAAATCGATGAAATATATTGGGCTTTGAACCTTGTCATGTCTAATTTCAAATATATAAGAAGACTCTTTAAGAAGATGAAATGGATTGAGAGGAAATAAAAGCCAAAGTGAGGCTCATGAAACTACTGGTTTCTAGAAAACAAGGTTGCGGTGGTAAGACAAATAGAAAATTAACAAATTCAAACTAACCTTTTGTACAAATTGAAGAATACACCAACACCCTCTCAGCTTCCCTCTTCCGATTTACTACTTTTCCCTTTCCAAAACCTCACACTCTCCTTTAATTCTTCAGTGAGAGTTAGAAATACTCCCTCTAAGCCTATCATTACCTCTCTTGGTTTAGAATGCTTACTCACACCCCCTAGACTACCCACATCACCCCAACATTTATGGACAGAATCTGATTCCCTTGTCTCCCCCACCATGTGATGGTTGGGAAGAAGAAGAAGCGTTTGGGATGACATTAGCTCATCCTTGACTATTTGTTTGGTCTTTTTTTTAACTAAAATAATCTTACTCCTATAATATATATATACACACACACACATATATACATATATATATATATATATATATATCTAAGTGTTACAAGATACCACCCCTGGACGAAGGAAAAGTACTTCCAAAGAAGATGCCACATCTACATATGAGACAGATAAGGCAAATGAAAATGATACCACACTTCGGCACTGAGAAGTTTCGTGATTACTCAATGGCTTGGATCTTGCAAGTCTTCAACCGAAGAGCTTCCCTTACTTGGGAACTTAGGGGAACACTGTTTGTACCATACTTGACCAATCCCGAAACTACTGAGCACCGGTCAACGTTATTGATCGGATCATATTTATATATATTTTTACTTCAAATTCACTCGTCTTTTCTTAGTTAGTTCCTTATATTTTTGAGCTATTTACGTTATTTTTGTGTTTATAAGATCTGTTATGTAAAGAAAACAAAAATAGCACAAATAAGATCTATTTACGTTATTTTCATGACTGCTTTCTTTTATTTGCTATTGTCAATTTGCTGAGTTATGCTTTCCATATATTTATTTTAAGCACCACATGATTTCAGGTTAGTGCTTGCTTGCACACTGGAAAACTTGCTGCCTTGGTAATTTTGGTCTCTGGAGGAATTGTATTACAAATTTTGGCAGTGTGGTTGGTGAAGCAAATAGAAAACAAAAAGAATAAGCTGATGGGGCGGAAAGGAGAGCACATACAAAGGTGGAAGGCTACTTTGCAGCGTGGTGATAGTGGAAGAAAGAAAAAAATAATATAAGCTGCAAGTGCAGCATGGTAAGTGAGTTTTGCGTGGAAGCGTAGGGAATAAAGAGAAGCAGCAAAGCTGCTTGGAGGGGGGGCATTTTTGTGCAGTGTGTGTGTGCTGCCTCTTGGGCAGTACCTGGAGGCCTCGGGGAAAAATAATAGAAGGCTGCCTTTGGGCAGCGTGAACCAGGGGGGGGAGAGGAAAGAGCTGCCTTGGCAGCACAAGAAAGAGGCGCGGAGAGAGAGGGAGGACGGACCGACAGGAGGTCAGGGCGCAAGAGAAGGGGACAGTTGCAGAAAATAAAGGGAGGACAGAAGGCTGGCAGCACAGCTGCCTTGCGGCAGAAGGAGAAAAAGAAAATATAAAAAAGAAAGGTCAGCGAGGAGAGAAGGGAGAGACGCAGAGACTGGCGGGGAGAGAGGAGAGCTAAGCTGTCCTTGCAGCTTTGAACCAACACGTGCAGAGAGTCCAGTGGAGCAGCAGAAGGCGGGAACAGAGAGCAGAAGGCTTCAATTTTCTCTCTCGGTTAAATCTTTCCAACTTATGTTTTACTTTCGGTTTAATCTTTCCAAACTTCTATTTTATTTCTTGTATTAATAATGTGTAAATAAAACTTATTTTGGCTAGAGGTTAATTCAAAGCCATGAATATATTTGTAATATGAATTGATTACCTTCAGTTGTGATTTCTGAGTTGTGATTTAATTTTGCTTAACTGCTTGATAGATAACTTATTTTTGTATGTCGATTAAGGATGCATACTTAATTTACATGCATGAATTTGATGCTAGAATATAAGTGAATTTCACCTAATCGTTATGAACTTATATTCACAAGTAGTGAAGGTTGCTAGTCACAATCACGTTAAGTAAATTCTTGGCATAAGTTTCATGCAAATCATAGTAACGAGTGTCTCGTCAATGCTTATGTTTTTCATAGAACTTAATGATTCTTGCTTGTATCTCTATTATGCAATTCATGTAGGGAACTTGTAGGGAATGTTTTGGGTTGTCGTATGCAATCATCCAACCCAATAACTTGTGGAAAACTAAGGGTTAAAAAAAGTGCTGTTCACGGTTAATCTGGAGTATTGAAATTCACAATTTATTGAAAGAACAACTGAAAATCAATTTAGGTTGCATATGTGTCATGTGTAGAGAAAAACCCTCTAGCTAGTCTGTCATTTATCATTTTACCTTAATTTTATGTTTTTGTCAATTCTGTAATTTAATTAAGTTTAATTTACTTTTCATCAAAACCAAACACCCATCCATTATTAAATTATATTATTTAGTTAGTTTTCTTTATTGTTAGTCTTTTAATTTAATTTCCGTCCATTTCAGTTCCTAGTGTTTAATTTAATTGTTTTCATTATTTTGAGTCATTTTAAGTGTGTTTCGAGTTATTAGAGTTTTTAGCCTAGTTTTGTGTCCTTGAGTCTTATTTAATATTTTTAAATTAATTTAGAATAGATTAGCAATCCCTCCTAATCCCCGGCCTAGAACGATACCCTACTTACATCTATACTACAACTGTCAAAAAGAGGATTTAATTTGTGTGTCAAGTAATTTTCACATCAAAATTTTGGCGCCGTTGCCGGGGATTAGCAACTTTGCTAATACTTTTATTTTTGTTTTTTTGTTTATGTTTATATTGGTGTTTGTGTATTTTACTTTTGATATTTGATTTATTTTTCTTTCTTTGATTTTAGGTTCAAATGGAGCCGAGGGAAATTTAAAGGAAAGATGCGTCCCGCTAAAGACGTTAAATCAAGCGCTTCTTGGGAGGCAACCCAAGCATTCAACGAAGGGAGACTTTGGAATCGCTAACCCAATCAGATTTGCATTTTTACACCCTTATCTTTACTGCTTTCATTTTGTTTTGTTTAGTTAGTTGTGTTATTTGTTTGATTTCTGTGAGTTTGTGTTATTTAGTTTAAGTGTGGGGGAAGGTTAACCAAAGTCTTTCTACTTTAATTTACATATAAAAAAATAATAATAATAAAAAAAATAATAATAATAATAAAAAAAAAAGATAAAATTTAAAATTAATGATAAAAAAAAATAAATAAACACTTAAAAAAAAAAAATTTACATAAAAAAAAAAAAGTACAAATATTTTACAATGATGTAAACTAATAGTATTCATTGGTCGGGTGGTGCTTCAGTAGTAGGCGGGGCTTCAGCAGTCGGCGGGGCCACAGAAGGAGGAGGCGGCAGAAGTTGATCAGTTGGAGCTTCACTACGCGGTGCCGCTCCAGAAGACGAAGGCAGATGTTGTTGGAACAAACCCACAAACCTCCGATGATCAAGTAAAATTTGACCATCGGTGTCCTGCATCTGGTCAATCTTCCTCTTCATGCTGGTGGCATAGCTGTGTGCGAGCTTGTGCAATTGTTTATTTTCATGCTTGAGTCCTTTAATCTCCTCTTTGAGACTCTGTATTTCAGCCACCAACGATTCAACGTGACGGGTTCTGGCAAATAGGCGTTGGGCCATGTTGGACACAGACCCCGCACACTGCACGCTAAGAGCCAGAGACTCCTTAACCGCCAATTCATCAGACCGTCTAGCGAGCAGTCTGTTATCTCTGGGAGTGACAAGGTTTCGAGCCACCACCGCAGCGGTCATGTCATTTTTCATCACCGAATCCCCAACGGTAAGAGGACCGGTAGGGGATATGAAAGATGGGCGCCATATGTTGTCTGGTGAAGGCGGAGCTGCCTCTTAACCAATGTTCAAGTCAAAACGACGATCGGAAGGGCCAGACATTTTCTGAAGGTGGTGAAGAAAGAAGAGAGTCGGACTGATTAAGATTTTGGAAGTTTACAGGAGGGAGTGTTTACAGGAGGAAGCTCAAGTGTGTTGTGGAACAAAATTAACGCCTCTATAAAAAGAAGAAATCAAAGAGGCGCTCCTCAGAAATCGAAGAAGCGTCCTCTCGCAAATCGAAGAGTTGGGGCTCCGTTCTCAAAAGCCGGATTCTTTTCTCAAAAGAGGCATTTAATTTCTTAAAAGTTGGGCTTGCTCAGAAACCACGTGCTGAACCCCAGATTTCGCAAGATCAATTCGTCCAGACGTGTTGTCACCCGTCACACGCAAACTCAGCTCTGCGAAAATCACGGGCAGTCTGTCGAAGTGCCGATTCCAACCATCTGTCTCTCTCAGCCTAGTCAGCATTTGTCACATGCAACTGGCAGCTTTGCGAAAATTACGGGCAGCTTTGTCAGAAAGCGCGTAATTTGTACTATTCATCCATCCACCGGCTGCCGACAATGAGTGAGAGAACAATTCCGGTTGTGAAGACAAGTCCTATAAGTTTCTACCTTCGCCTTCCACAGCAAAAGCACACTCTCTCAGCACACCCTCTCAACACTTCTTCATCTCCGAAAATGCATTCCCAAAGAATCCTCCTAAGTTACTCAGTGTTCCTCATTCCTTGGGATACTCTTGCGAACAACCCATCCAAAGCAAAAGTATTTCATATCATGAAGGTTGAAAGCAAGAGTATCTCATATCATGTATTTTCCATGTCCTTTTCCTTGTCTTTGTTCTAACCTGCAGGACATGGAGAAATTGCTCTCGAGTACTCGTCTTCCACTGCTGATGTACTTCCAAAGAAGCTGCCACATCTACCTGAAGAACAGATAAGGCAAGCGAAAATGATACCAACAGCATGTGGAGACAACGTACAGAAGAAACAAGCAGAGAAGATGCAGCTTGCACAATCATCCCAGCGGAAGGAGTCCGAGCTGAAGAACTAGAGAAGCTGCCACATCTGCTTGGAGAACAAATAAGGAACTGCAACATAACCAAAGAGCAAAGCTTCGCCGTACAATATCATCAAATCATCACTTGCAAGTAAAAAGCTAAGTGTCACCCAGTTCAAGAGGAAAGCTGTGGAAAGTCAACAAGCACGACCAATGATCACTTATTAGTTCTATTCATTGTCTTTTATCGTGATTTTCAATTTTTCGTTTGCAATTTTTATTTTTTTATTTTTTTATTTTTTAATTAATTTTTTTGTGTTACTTAACTGAATTATTTCTTTTCTTTGCAGGAACTTTTGGTTATTTCCACCCTTGAAGTTGATTGCAGAATTTTAGCTTGGGGGTCATCGCTTGATT